ATATGGGCAAAAAACACCAAAAAAAGACACATTGGAATTTGACAGGAAAAAATCTAAGAAACGTAAATTAGACAGATAACAAAATGAGATAACTAAAAAGTCATGGAAAGCATTCCTTTTAATTTGTATAAAATTTATTTTAATTTTCGCGACTTTCGCGACAACATCTTTATCCTTTAATTTGTCTCTTATGAAACCGATGCAGTTAACAACACAAAGCCCTTTGTTCTCAATGCTTTTTCATACCCCAACTTGATATTGTCCTGACCCTGGTATTAGCTATTAAACCAATTATCTACTATCTTAGCACCACCCATTGGGTATATTGGGTATATAAACAGTCAAATATGCCAGGAGGGGCCATTCCCAACTATTCTCTTCATTCAATCACCTCAACACTCACACTCTTAATCGTCTCTCCTTCCAACTATCAGCAAATTAACTATCGATCATTTCATCTTCGATACAAACTGTTCCACTACAACTCTCAACAATAAAATAAATCTCAACAACAATTTATTTGTGAAACAACAACAATCAACTTACAACAACCACTTTCACAACAATAGAGACGAACCCAAGTTGCCGGCCCAACATTTGATTGCTTCATTATCCGGCGTGTGCATCAAGAATTGACCCTCGTCGTAATGACATTCAGTGCGGACCGAATTCGCATCTGACCCATGCGACAGTTCCGTCAAACAAAAGCAGCCGACAATCTTCAATAATTTTATCAGCTAATCATCTTTCTAAGTTTATTTCGAGATCAATTTGAAGTCGAAATGATCAATGGTGCAAACAGGATCGGAAGTCCTTCTACCCCTTGCAATGAATTTATAAAGAGCAATGCATTAGGACGAATTTTAACAAACTTTTTAAATGAAAGATCAATGATTGGATGATATAAAGACCTCATTGTTCCTGCATTTCTCGAGTATTTGATGGTGCCGATTTGTTCCCATTGATAATATTGTAACATAGAAGATGGCACTGATATAGAATTTTGCTGCTAAACTTTGGTCATAACTTTCTAAGATTTCCGCGAAATCCACAAATCTTTCAGGATTTGTTTTAAGCTATAATATAACTTTATATTGTGATTGGAGAAGATGAGAAATTGAAAGCAGAATATTTTTTGAAAATGATAGGTCCACCACTAAGGATATGTGTTACAGCACGACAAAATCATATCAAAAATGAGAAGAGACTGATCATAGACCCCATCGAACGTGATGAAATTGTATTCCAGAAATTGTTTCCATCGTCGATCGCATATTTGGCGGCTTTCATCCATCGTCAATGTTCGCCAATCGCGAACAAAAACATTACTAGCACGGAGTTTTTCAAAGACCTCATTCTAAATTATGAAGAAAAATATTTGCAAATATAAATTTTAAAATTTGGCATTAATTCAGAGTAGACATTAAAGTTGTAAAGAAATGTCAATCTGAATTTGCTACAGTTGATAACTTTAATTAAACACCGTACATTTTGCATTGCGAATTTTCATCTGGTGAAAGATATTTATTTAATTGAATACGTAAAAGTTAGATAATAAAGGTTGCTTTGATAAAACGATTTTTTCCAGCTCCAGATGAAATCAGCTCCCTCCCTAACACCCAGTTGAATAAGATTGAAGTAGTTTAAAATCATTTTTTCCCTCAGAAAATTCCCTATTATTTACCTTAAACTTAATACTCTCCGAACCGTATAGCCATTCCTGCAGATCATGCCAACAGAATCCTGCCATTCGTCGATATTCCAATAATTTATCATTTATTTCAAGAGTAGAGTCTAACTGATATGGTGTCATAAAAATCATAACGTGTTTGGGGAATCCCCACAGATGAATTTCCTGAAAATTTAATCAGAGTCAACTGTTCGCCCGTATCACTAGTCCTACTTCTTTTGTTATATCTAATAATTACGGTTAGTCCTGGAAAACAAAACAAAAATAATGCGCAGCCAAAAGTTAGAATCATAAGACATTAAAAGATCCGGCTACGGCTCAACAAATCACCAAATGTTGTGACTGAGAGATAATTATTCCTTCCAGCCTAAATTAGGCTCATTTCGTGGCACATTTGAAATGATAAAGTCAATTCAGATAAATGAAATGCCACCCACTAAAAATTCCATTACCACAATCATTCCTACAACATTTCTTCAATTCAAAGTTTTTTGCACGAAACATATTTCTATCATTTTGAATAGCATTATCAGATTTTTATATTTCAGTTATCAACTATGTACAGGAGATATGATTAAGTAATGCAAATAACAGAATACAACAACAATCGAGACAAAAGCATAGGCAAATATGATATGGAATACAACAATAATAAATTTTACTTCCGACTTTTCAATACACGAACTTGCATTTAAAAAAGCAGAAGTAAAGCTGTAAAAATTAAGTATTTAAATTTTGTTATCTCCTGACACCATAAAATTCAAATCCACACAACCTAATGAAAGCACATCAATTTTAAAACACCATAAATCATTCAAACAATTCCAATTCTTCACTGATCCAGAATGTGTTATCATTCAATCTCAATTGAAAGTAATAGAAGAAAAAATATGAGACAAGAAAGCAATACGCTGTAATGCTAATAAATGCATCTAAGCGAGAATTATGAAAACATGCAAAAAAACTGGTAAAACATTCCACCTCTATCCTTCCACTGTGAAATGGACCAAGTTAAAGCCTTTTAGGACCTAATCATTCATTCGCTTATCAATGAAATTATCATCCATGCACCGGGGAGAAAATGATCTGTAGATCACTTATAAATGTTTTAAACAGAGATCACCAAAATTCATGGCTGACTTCATGGTCTGAATTCCATATTCGAATTTAAAAATCCTATTTTCAGTTAAATATTTTAAACTGGGAAACTAATGACAAGCCTAATTTATTCAGAATACCAT